GGGATGCGCAGGTATAGGAAAAGCCTGCAGATACATCAAATAAAGGAAAAGAAGTAAATGACTCCATCCCCTAAAGCAAGTTTTCCTCAGGCATTCTGCAAGTGTTCCCCTCTTCAGGCCTACCTGTGCTCTTTCAGGGTGATGTTCCTATCTAGGTGACTCTCAAGGTGATCCTTGAAGTCAAATGGTTTTCCAACTGCAAGAGAATGAGAAGTAGATGAGAACCTAAAGAGAAGTGGAGGAGTAAGGAATATGAGGAGGTGCCCAGGAAACAACATAAAGGCATAGGCACTTGCACTTGCTCTGTGAAAGCAGTGGGACTGGGGCCCCGTCTCAAGTGCCCATATATGTAACACATGCAGCATGGAAAAATGGTGGATCCTAGGAGAAGTGACAAAGAGAAATGGCAGAAATACAGCTCTGGACTTCAGGAGATCAGATTTTGGCCTGTCCTGGAAGCTGCTTTGTAGGACTCATGGAATAATGCCCTGGAGGGCAAAGAGGCCCACGACACCCAACACGTCTTCAAGGACAGCCTCCTCAAAGCACAAGAACAGTCCACTCTGATATGCTAAAATTCAAGTGAGTGTCATAGGAGGCCAGCATGGATGAACCAGGACTTCTACCAGAGTTCACATCCAAAACACAGAATGCAGGGCTGTGGAGAGAACACCTGCAGAAGATCCAATGAGGAGTCAGGGGACTGGCAGAGTATGTGATAGCAGCCCCGGAGTGTGCTCTCTACACATGGACCGAAACCAGTCAGGGCCAGACATGCATATTCTGTTTTGTCAACAATGTCTAGCTGCTTTGCAGCCAGTAACTGCTCAAGCTTTGCATAGTCGAGATAAGGAAATAGCTCCAGCAGATAAAAGGTCCCTAGGATAAACAAAGTGAGGCCCTTCTGGGCATCTGACCCATTCTTCCAGTAGCCTCCCATCAGTGACCCCTCTGTACGATTCCTGGGGCTCCCTGTGCAGTTTGGAGCGCAAATCCTTCATTAAATCTACTTTGTTTAACCCCTCATGTGCCTTGAGTGTCTCTCTATATCAGTATCCAACCCTCCCTTTCCCGTCTTGTGGTCACATTTGGTGTAGTCAGCAGGATATTGGTGTGGAGAGGCCTCTTTGGGGACGAAAGAACAAGGGGGAAGCAGGGAGGTGCATTCCCAGGTGACCCACTATGGGTTGACAGGCACCCATAGCTTGCAAGCTGATGGAGTGAGTCTCCCCCACAGCATCGTCAGAGCTAGACAGTGAGCTGGCGGTAACCCCAGAGAGCTTAGTGGATCTTGTTTCCAAGTGCAGGCTGGAAAAAGCAGGGCTGGTGGCACAAAAGGCAGCAGGGAATCTGGGATGGATCTTACTGACTGTGCTCCGCACCTTGGACGAGGTGTTGTTAACACAGCTCCAGCGAAATGGGCAGTTGGCAAGTGATCTCTAAGCAACCAAGGAGGCTCACCAACTGATCAAAAAAGGTTGCAACCACAATCGAAGATTGAGCTGAAAAGCTGGAACACCAATCTGCCATTATGGCCACCTGCATTGTGAATCGCTGGCAACAACAAGGAGGGAGGTGAGATGTCCATACCCTGGCAGTTCAGGCACTAGTGCAAAAGGTGGATTGGGATGCAGAAGCTTAGGATGGTAATATCTGGGACTCCAATGAACCCCCCCCAGTTTGGAGTTAGATATAGAGTATGAGAGCGAGGTAACTACCCAGCCAGTGGTAGAGCAGTGGCTAACCAGACCAAATGCAGCCAATATGCAAAAGACCACAACTACTTGTGATTTTAAAGCATCAGAGCTGCAGGATATGCAGGGGCAATATAGGTAGAAGCCCCATGAAGGGTTATTAGAATGGCTGTTAAGTTGTGGGATGATGGGGCAGATGTGGTTTATTTTACCAAAGAGGAGCTCGATAGAATGTGGGCTCTCCCCTAGGATCCCATGCTGCGCAACACTCTCCGTACCCTGCAGCAGCAAAACCAAAATGTTTTGCCCTCCTTAATGGAGTTGCTGAGAGGTGTGGTGCATTTTACTTGGCTGACTGCCACAGGCATTGGTGATGAGCTCACTGAGTGGACTACTATTGCAGCAGGAATAAACCAACTGCAATTAGGAATATTGTCTGGAATTTATTCCAAGTTTACTGGACTCAGTCAGATCGCCGTGAACAAAACCATCTGAACTAAGATGCTGTGAACTGTCCTCCCCATCTTAAAGCTATGATGGTACCTGTGATTGGTGGGGGGACAGGGACAGTAGGGGAAGTTGCAGCACTGCTATCTCAGTTAGCAGAAGCATTCTCTGTTAGCACAGATAGACAGGAAGTCAGGAAACAGGCAGGTAAACATGAAATGGAAAAAGGGTGAGTCACAGCACTATGTTACAAGACCTGCTGCAAGGGAGCATGCTCTGGGAAGAGGTAGATGGTAAAAATGCAGAGCTGTTCAAGCATTGGCTTCAGCTTAAGCCAGAGCAACACTCTACGCCATAGGAGTGTGTGGGGGGGAGGTACAGCAAACAGGCAAGAAAGAACCTATGACACTCCCTGCCCTGCTTGTAGAGTGCATAGAGTGGGAGCTGCCAGCCCAGTATCAACAGAGGCAGTTCCCTCTCGTTTTTTAGCTAAATTAGACAATACGTAATGGGTGGCCATCAACCTTGGAGGCCCTGAACCGAGAGAGATTTTAGGCATCAATATGCTCCAAGGAAGAAATAATCAATATGTAGTGGGGTCTTTTTCTTTTCTGTGTCCCTAAACATTAAAACAGCTGTTACTATTTTGAGAGGACACCTACCTTGTACTAATCAAAGGGAAAAGTGTCCTAGTCTATATTTCCTCTATGAGATTCATGCCTGGAGATCCGTGATCTGATCAATGTGCCAAGCGCAGCTGCAACATTGCTGCTCTCAGTCCTAACCCTGTACACTGGTGGTAGTCGGAATGCCCACAACACTGCAGTAAGCGCTTCGAAACTGATGTCCATGAGATGATGAGCATACTCCAAGTACTGCATCATGTAAGATTCAAAGAATTAGTGTGGAACAACCCCTGGCATTGACTGTCACCATGATTGCCATATTTAGGACTATGAGGAAAATGCATTATACTCCTTACCTTCACTAGGCTAATCAGTTTGGTGTGCATATATGTTATAATTCACTGTGTACTAACTTGCATACGTCAGCTCCTAGTTGAGCTAATGCCTGAATGGCATATCTGAACCTTATCTACATGCTGGTGGAATTAACTCCACATCTCTGTCAGTCAAGGGGTGGAGCGTAGCAAGGACATCTGCAGAAGATCTGGTAAGGCATCAGGGGACTAGCAGAGTATGTGATAGCAGCCCCAGAGTGTGCTCTCTACTCAATTAAATGGATCAGGGCTGGACATGCATATTCTGTTCTGTCAACAATGTCTAGCAGCTTCACATCCAGTAACTACTCAAGCTTTGCAATAGCTCTAGCAGATAAAAGGGGCCCTTAGGATGCACAAAGTGAGTCTGCCCTGGGCATCTGACCTCTCTGTCCAGCAGCCTCCCACGAGTGACCCCTCTACACAGTTCTTGGGGCTCCCTGAGTAGTTTGGAGAGTAAGTAAGTTCTCCATTAAATCGATTTTGTTTACACTCACATGCCTTGAGTGTCTCCCTACACTGGTATTCAACCCTCCTGCACCTGGAGTATTGTGTCCAGTTTTGGAGCTCCTTAGTACCAGACAGATTTGGGCATACTGCAGCTAGCTCAGGGAAGGCCACCAACGTGGCCCACCAACGTGGGGGTAGGAGCATATCACAGAAAAGGAGAGGCTGAGAGAGCTGGGTTTGGTCAGCCTGGACAAGAAATGATGCAAGGGAGATATCATTGCTGTCTTAGACTAGTTAATGGGAGGATGTAGAGAAAACAGAGCCAGAGTCTTCTCAGACGTGCACAGAGGAAGGACAAAAGGAAATTGGCACAAGCTGGAATCTTTTTTTTTTTTTTTTTTACCATGACAGTCTTCAAAAGAGAGTCCCAGAGACATTATCTTGGAGATAATGAACATTTAACCAGACACAGCTCTGAGCAATCTCCTCTAACTGGACCTGTTTTGAATAAGAGGTTGTACTAGAGATCTCCCGAGATCCCTTCCCTCTCTTCCTTCCCATTCTTGGAGCAGTGCTCAGGGCTGCTACAGGCCAGAAAAGCACAGGAGCAGCTGTACTGGTCCAACCCAAGGGGACATCAAGTCCAAGAAGCAGTCCCCAACAGAAGCATATCCAAAAACTCAGGGAAGAGTAAGGAGATGTAAAAGCTACTACATACCTCCCTTGAGCCCTCTCCCAGCACAGAACTCACACTTAGCAATGGGTGAGCAGAGCTGGCCTCTCTGTCATTTGCCTACAGGAGAGAGAATCTCTTGGGAAGACTTTTTAGACCTTGTCAAATCTTGTCATCTAAATGCATCCATTTCTAATCATTTGTCATTATTACTCAATGCACAATTGCTAAATTTAAAGGACTAAAAAATATTATTGACTCCTCTGTTTAACAGAATCAAAAGCTTCACTGTTTTCAGCAGTGGTTTTGATAATGGACATGCACACTACAAAGGACAGTTTTTTCCTCTAACTTCAGCTTATTGTTGGCACATATGTTTGCAAAGCTCTGTAAAAGAAATTCTATATTTTAGCAAAAATATTGTCTTCTAAAAAGTCCAGGCTCCATTCAGTCTGAGACTCCAAACATTATCTAATCTAGCCCCCAAAATTCTGTATCCCTTCAGAAGGAGAAGCAGAATTTCACTAGCAAGTGAGAGAGGAATATTATCTGAATCCATTCAGAAATGGAAACTCAGTCAGCTCAATGGAGAGCTGAGAGCAAGACAGAGACAACAACATGGAGAAGAAGATATAAGGAAGGCAAAAGGTGTTATATGATATTCACAACATTGTCAGTCAAGCCACAGCTCAGGCCATCTCCAGATATAGCATGGCCTTTTGTATCCCTTCCTTTCTTATCCCCTTCCCTTCCCCTTCTATCCTAATATATCCCATCCCATCCTCTCCTGCAACTATAAGGGCATGTAAGACAACAGCATCAGCTTGTTGGGTGGGAAGTACTGGGGCAGGGAAGTGAGGCAGCACCAGCTTAAAGTTTATTGTGGCTGTAGTACTGGCCTGTGTCCACAACACAAGAGGAGTTTGAATCAGGGACTGAACACCACGAGACCTTGCAATGTCAAAGAAGCAGCAAAAAAGCAGTGCTTACCTGGAGGTGCAGGTGAGAGGAGCTGCTGCAGTTCTTGGAAGGGTGTGGGGAAGCTAGTTTATATAAGACCTCACTAGGGGTGTGGTTTGAGTTGAGTCTGCAAAACTGATAATGAGTCTGTCTTGGCAGTGTCAGCAGGGGGATTTAATGCTATAAAATGCATATTTGAGAGACCAAATTCAGGCCCCTGCCAGCCTGTCATGGGCAAAGAATCCTCATTTTGCACTAGCTGGTGTTTCTGGCACCCCACTGGCCTTCACACTACCCCTGCTAGGGGCTCTTCCTGGCTCAGATCAAGGGAAGGAACCCAGGGCAGAGTGCTGAACTTCTCCCCTCCATGCACTGAACGTGTTTGGGCAGAGGGAGGAGAGGTGAGACCTTTGCCTATGTCACACTCTGGATTTCTCAAGTTTTAGGGCCTGACACCAGCTGTGGTGGGCAGGGAGGCCACAGTCAGCTATGTTTTTCTGCTCTGCCTGGCGCACCTTGGCTCTTCCATCCATGAAACACTACTCCAGCTCTGGTCTGGCTCTGCTGCCTTTCACAATGTCTGCTGCAGCTTTGCTTTGCTGCTAGTATTCCATCCTTTCAGCAAGAGTTCACTTAAATTCCAGAGAACACATAGGACCCCTGTATACAGCAGGCTCAATAGCAGATTTTTCTACCACCATCCTTTTTGTCTCAAGGCTCCAGCACTTGCATTTCCAGGCTGAAAGTCATTTTATTACCTTAGGAAAGCGCCTGCAGAGGGCACTGACTTTCATCTCCTTTGGGATGTACCCCTTCTTTGCCAGAAATGCTTCCTAAATGTAAGCAAGTATATATAGAGGTGTATAAATATACATGCATGCATATATATATACACACACACCCACACCCCCCCCCACAGATATATATACACACATACATATGTAAAATCAAGATGTTTGAGACCTATCATTGGTGTCTGCAGTTCACCTGCCATTATTTCTACCAGCTCTTGGGTGCCATGCTCATGGGAGGGAATGATCCTTCCTTTTTAATTCTAGGCCAAGGATTACTCCTTACTTTTGATTGAGAAGCAGATGAGGACCTACATCTTGTTCCGTCTATCACTCACCAATTGAGCCTTTGAGTTACAAGGAAGAGTGTGGCACTGGAGCGGAGAGGGGGGAATCAAAGGATAATATGTGTACATAAATTTGTTTGTGCGAGAGGGGAAAGCAGGTCAGTGTTTTGCCATGAGATGGGCTTCTAGTGCACTGAGGATGTATGCAAGGCAGAGCACATAAGTGGCAGAGGATGATATTGGGACAGTCAGAGTAACTGTGGTGTGAGTGATCAGAGCAACATATCTGGTGTGGGGCTTGGTGACTGGGCTGCAGGTGGTCATGGCTAGGGGAATGGAGGGGGCTCATTCAGGTCAGAGAAACACATACACGCACATGTTGCACTGTCCGGGAGTGGAAGGACAGCCGTGAAGCTGAGGTCTGTGGCCAGGGGACCAGCGGAAGGGCCATAACCTTTTCCTAATTTTCTGTGAAGGGTAATTACCAGGAAGGCTGGGTTTATACCCTCTTCTCAAACCTTTCACTTCATGCAGGGTTTGCATGGGCCCTGTCAGCTCTGGAGAAGGCCAGACCCAAAATGGGCAGACATAGCTCAGGCTGTCAGCCCCATAGCCAACCCTACTGAGCTAAGCACAGATGCAGCCCAGGGAATTTCCACATATGTACACTGACAGCCATCACCACCATGACCAGTCAAAGATATGAGCTGTAAGAGGTGGCCAAATCAAACATTTGACTACACAAAATACTGTAAGGGCTGGGACCACTCCCCAGAAAGATCTGGCCAGTTTCTCTGAGACATGTACTGCATGAAGAAGTAAAAAAAACCATTACAAGTAAAAGAATTATTTCACAGAGACTATATTAGCCTTATGCCTTCTTTTTTGCCAGTAACCCCTCCCTTGTGCTAGGAAATATTCACCCCTTGTGCAGTAGAGATTAGCTATTATATCACCTGTCAAGAAAATGCCAAATGATAAAGCCCTGCTAGGATTCCCCTTCCCTAGTGTCTCTGCAATTCCAATGTCTTTCCTTTATAGCTGTGAATGCATGTGAATGCAACAGGCATAGCTTGGAGCTGAGGAAGGGCCAAGACCATTTGGTTTTGCCACAGTGGTGAGCTGAGTCTCTTTCTCTAGGGTCAGCACTGATGACTGCATTGAAACTGTCTCTAGCCAGGGCACCAGGGCACAGCAGAGCTTCTGCTGTGTATTAAGTGGGTTGGCAGCACCTGAAGTGGGTAGATGGTCACACCTACCCCATGCTATGGGGCAGAGGAAGGGCCACAGTACTGCCCGAGTGGCAGACAAAGGGGAAGATGAGGGCTGGGTCAGCAAAGGAGTCATGACGAGGACTTGGTTGTCTGTAATCCTAATGTTTCTCTCTTGGGTTCCACTGAATATTCCTACCCAGCTGTTCTCGTAGGTCACATGACCACTGTCTTAAAGATTATGGCAATAAGAGGAGGTTCTTGATGACTGGAAAAGGGGAAACATCAAAGGGCAAGAAGGGCAAGAAAGAGAATCCAGGTAGCTACAGGTTGGTCAGCCTGCCCTCAGTACCTGAGAAGGTGATGCACTATATCATCTTAAAGGCCATTTTTAAAATACCTGAAGGACAAGAAAGTGATTAGGAAGAGCCCACCTGAATTTATCAAGGATAAATCACATCTGACTTGGTTCCTGGCCATGCCAGAGGTCCCCCTACTAGTTGACAGCACTTCCTCTCTGACCCTGAAGGTAACGGTAAGATTGCACAAGATGAGTGCACACAACTCTGAGCTTGCAAGGAATAAGGTCATGGTGAAACCTTCGTTCCTCCCGGTAGAGACATGACATAATTATACTTGGGTTAGACCATTCTGGGAGTTACTGCTTTGGGAATCACACGCACCAAATACTGTTGCAGAGGGTGGAGCTGTCTTGGAGATTCAACATCTCTTTTCTTTTATAGAAGGTGAGGAAAGGGAGAAATGAGATGTGGAAGGAGAAAGACACTGGGGGAAGAAATGGGAGTCTCCCCAAGACCAGGACTCCTAGGACTTGGCTGGACCAGCAGTGGAGGTGAGGTCACCAGGGTCTTCAGTAGCCTGATGTAATTTTTCAGCAAATGACAAAGGCAGTCAGCAGCGATCACAGACTGTAGTGGGCATGCAGCCAGGCTGCTAAGGTTTGATTCCTCCATCCATCTCTTCCCTACCCAAGCCTATTCTGGAAACCAAGCAGTTGGGAAAGGGTCAAGTTTGCCCTCTTACCCAGTGGGGTGTTTCCCAGGAGAACTGCTCACCACCTCTGCAGCATTTGCACTCATGGCCATTGCTGGGCTATCACAGCTGCTGGTTCAGGACTGGGAATTAGAGTTTGCAACTGAGGAAAGGCTTGGCATTTCCTGACCCTGGGCCGGGTGGAGCAGCATGGTCAGAGTCATCAGAGAAGGGATGAAGATATTGACCCTTTGAAGAGTATGCCAGATAGCCTGTGCCATGCTGTTATAAAAGAAATAACTTTGGGACCTGAAGACATGTGAATCATCATATATGTGAAGTTATGTTTACATACGTGAAGTTATGAAGATATGTGAGTGTGGTGCTTTGGGATGTAAAGTAGCTATGTTGTTTTCTCTATGCATTCGAACTCCTGCCTGAGAATGTTACCAAAGGCAGAGTACTGTAACAAGATACAACATGGGACTTGTTTATAAACAAAACCTATATCTCACCTGGCCAGACATGAATTGGTAAGTATATCTGAGGCATGCACATGCTTTGAAAAAGCCATGGCTAGCTCCACCCATATATTATCATATATTTAATACAGCTTAACTAAACCATGTACTTGACATCAGCACATATAAATAGGCTATTCATACTGTAAATATTAAGCTTATGGGGAAATTGGGTCAGGTTGATGTATCTCAGATCTACCCCAGAGGAACAATCCAGTGCATTGCCCACAAATGTTTCTTCTTGAATTTCATACCAATGGTGACAAATATCCAAGCTAAGAATCACCCCACCAGAAGATGGAGCTACTCCTTGTCCTGTTTGAGATCCAGAATCTCCTACTTTCAGTGGAGATTCAGTGCAACACCACAAAAACTCCTGGAAGCTCAAATAAACAAAACTGTAGAAATTCACACAGCAAATACAATTTTTTTATATTGATAATCTGAGCATTAATAAGGATGATCTGTGGCATCCCTAGTGTTCTCCTGGTAGGCAGGTGCCTGTAGGCCTTCATCTCATGGCTGAGATAGCTGCATGTAGCATCATGGGTTTTTCTGAAATGACACATGCCTTCAGCTGATGATCCAGGATGCTAAGCTGAAACATAAACTCAGCACGACTATTAGCATAGCAGAGCAGTAGAGTCCCTTGGACAAAGAAGCAGTCAGGTAGGGGGTACACAAACCAATCTATCACTGGGTACATGAGACAGCGCCTGGCCAGTGACTCACGCAGTGTTAAGGGACAGCAGATGCAACAGAGCTAAAGGGGCATGCAAGTGGAAGAAGCACTGCAGACGTTTATGGGGAGAACCAGGAAAAATGTTTAGCTAGAATTCTCCTTTTTCTGTTCTTCAAGCTTCCTCCTCTCATCTCTTCAGTTGCCATTAACCCGTGGCCCTCTATTCCCCTGCTGAGGCCCCTGTTAAAGGAAGAAGAAATCCTGATGTTTCTAAGGGAAACAAGAGCCTGAAAATCCACTGTTTTTTTCCCACCTTACATAGAACACAGAAGACAAGGAATTTCTATTTTTACTTTTCAAAAGACTTGCCTGCTGAAAGTTGGAGTGCAAGCACAGCATGCCTTCAAAAGCCCTTGACACCTGAGAAAATCTACAAGGAGCTCGTGCCTGCATCACAGTCCCAGATTTTAGTCTATAAAGGTTATGAAACAGCTGAAAGAAGGAAGCCTGCTTTCTCCATCTTGAGACTATGTCAGGAAACAGACCTGTGCCAGGCTTAATAGCCTGGGACCACCTATGGCAT